TCTCTATTATAAGAAATTCTCGGTCCTGTTGGCGCCCTTCTTGGCTGACTATTTCAATGAGTTACGACAGGGCTCCTTGCCCTCCCCAGACGCGCTTAGAGCACATATAGCCATGATTCCTAAGACGAACGAGGATGTACAGGAACCGCAAGCCTTCCGGCCCATTTCTCTTCTTAATGAAGACCTGAAGATCTTGGGCAAGATTCTTAGCTCTCGCATCAATAACTATTTGCATAGCCTGGTCCACAGGGACCAAGTGGGGTTTGTCCCTGGGAGGCAGGCGGGTGATAACGTTCGTAAGGTGGTCCATCTTATACATCTTCTGCAACAGCGGAAAATCCCAGGATTCTTACTTTCCTTAGACATATATAAAGCTTTTGACTCTCTATCCTGGGAATATCTGCGGTTTGTGCTGTCTCGTTGGGGTTTTGGGGATTCTATCCTTTCTTGGATTCAAGCCTTGTATTCGTCTCCTTTGGCCTCCGTTAAATATGCTGGGTATTTCTCGAACCCCTTTCCTATTGGGCGAGGGACGAGACAGGGCTGCCCTTTGTCCCCGGCGCTTTTTGTACTGGCGCTTGAGCCGCTGGCTTTAGCGCTCCGGACCGATTGCAATATATCGGGGGTTTCATATGCGGGACAGGAGTTTAAGCTGAATCTTTTTGCGGACGATGCCCTCTTGACTCTTACTAAGCCTCTGACGACGCTTCCTAATCTGCAACAGGTTCTTGAGCGCTTCTCTTTGATTTCGGGTCTCCGTATTAACTTGGATAAGACTGTCGCTCTTAATATTACTTTGGATTCCGATTTGGTTTCACGCCTTCAATCCTACTTCCCTTATAAATGGGCTTCCTCCTCTCTTGAATATTTGGGCATCCGCTTGACCCCCACCTATGACTCCCTCTTTGCTGTAAATTATTACCCATTGCTTAGTTCTTTATCTTCTCTTCTGCATTCCTAGCAATTTCCGCACCTGTCTTGGATAGGGCGGGTTCATTCGGTGAAAATGACCATCCTGCCGAAATTGTTATATTATTTTCGTACTCTCCCAGTGCGGGTTCCCCCTCATTTCCTTCGGTTGCTTCAGGCGAAGCTTATGCGTTTCATCTGGGCCAATAAGCACCCCAGAGTATCTAGAAACACGCTCTTTGCTCATAGACTCCAGGGTGGCCTTGGGGTGCCCAATGTAACTAAGTATTACCAGGCGAGCCAGATTGCCCCGCTGTCTATGTTGCACGCTTCCTCTGACGTCCCTCTCTGGGTCTTGCTGGAGCTACCTAACTGTGCCCCTATCCAACCGTCGACGCTTCTATGGCTTCCCCCTGCCCTGCGCCCTATATCGCTGAGCCCGATGTTGCTCCATGGCTTACGAGTCTGGGACTCGGTACGTTATTCCAGTGGCCTGATGTCACCCTTTCTGCCTTTGCTTCCAATTGTTAACAACCCTCTTTTCCCACCGGGTCTAGATCACCCAAGGGCGTTCTCTTGGTGGGTGGCTCATGGGTTTTTGCAGGTACAACACTTTTTGGTTTCTCGGTCCTTCCCTACCTGGGATCTTCTTCGGGAGTCCCGGGATGTTCCCCCGGCGGAATTTTTTCGATACCTTCAATTGCGGCACTGGCTACTCTCGCTGCGGGGCACTTCTTCTTTTCCATACCATAAATCGGCCTTTGAACAGCTTTGCCAGCAGCGCCTGGGCGCCCCGGGCCTTATCTCCCTTCTTTATGCAGCCTTGAACAGACGCCCGTCGCATACTTCTCTTTCATATGTTGTTCAGTGAGAGCGTGACCTGGGAGTGGATGTGGATCCGGAGGACTGGAATAGGGCCTGGTCACTCATAGCTAAATGCTCATTCAATACCATCACGCTGGAGGCAGCCTATAAGGTATTGTTTCGTTGGTATTGGGTTCCGGCTCGTTTGGCCCAGGCTAACCCCGCTTGTAGTGATCGATGTTTCCGGGGTTGTGGCCATCGTGGCGATGTCTTGCATATCTGGTGGTCATGCCCGAGACTGGTCCGTTTTTGGTCTCGTGTATTTGGCCTCCTTTTCACGTTGTTTCATCTATCCATACGCCGGGTCACTCGGTATGCCTTGCTTCATTGCCCCATACCGGGTCTCTTTGCTCATCAACAGAAGCTGGCGTCCTATTTGTTTTTTTCGGCCACCAGAACAATTGCTCAGGCCTGGAAGACTCCGTTTGTCCCTTTTCAGGGGGTGCGGGATTGTATGACCAATATGATGCTTAATGAGCAGATGTCGAGCATATGCAACGACTCCCAATGTAAATTCTCGAAAATATGGGAACCATGGTTGCAATAAGCCTTTCCCATGCTTCCTTTGGCTAGTATGGGGATGTACTGGCGTTAGGCACTGGCGTTTGATGGTGGCGCTCTTGGATCTCTGCCCCCTCTTCTCTTTTTTTTTTTCTCTCCTCTTCTTTCACTTCTTTTTCTTTCTCTCCATTTCTGTTAGTTTTTTTGGGTGATAGTTGACAGCTGCCTTTAATTGCAGTTAGAATTTCATTACTGTCATTGTAACCTATGTGCCATTGATAGCCCCTGCGTGGGCGTACCTTCTGCCTTGTTGAAGTTAGAGCACTGTTTTTCTTTTATTATTATGTTTTTTATCTTATCGGTGCAATTGATAGCCCCTGTGGGGGCATGTTTTGTCGCCTCTGTTTTTATACTGCTTAAAACTAATAAAAACTATTGAAATACAAAAACCAGCTCAAGGACTGTTTTACTGACTCTGAAAGAAAGTGTGGAAAAATGCATGTTGCCTGGCTGTGCAGAGCTTAGGGGGGACCCAATAATTCAGCGGTCCTCAAGATGCTAGCACTAAAAGTCCAAATACGTTGTTAATTAATTCACTTTAGAGTGGTAGTAGAAAGCCAGTGTGCTTGGGTGGCTTCATCAGGCCTACCTCTTCATCAGGCCTACAATGCATAACAATACATGTAAAGAAAGACATAATACTACCAGGCGGCGGACTGACAACTCATGGGGCTCCCAGGCAATAAGAGATAATGAGGCCCCCTGTGTCTTCGCCTACACTCAAGCCAAAGTCACACCCACACAACACCCCACCTACATATTGGAGCTCAGCTGCATAGAAAGGGCATCAAAAATAATTAAAAAAATAATAAAACAACATTGTGGGGTCCACCCTCCATTCACACCAAGCTCTTCGGGTCTGGTATGGGTTTTGAGGGGAACCCCCATGCCAAAATGTAAAACAAAATGGTGTGGGGTCCCCCCCAAGATCAATACCAGACCCTTATCCAAACATTCAGCTTGGCAGGTCAGGAAAGGGGGGGTGGCGACCAAGCGTCCACCCCCCTCCTGAACCATACAAGGCCACATGCCCTCAACGTGGGGGGGTGCTCCGGGGGGGTCCCAAGAGCCTCTTCCCCACAACCTTGGCCTGTGATTGTGGGGGTCTGGGGGCAGGGGGCTTATCGGAATCTAGAAGCCCCCAGATCCCAGCCCTCCCCGTATGTGAATAAGTATGGGGTACATGGTACTGCTACCCATTCACAAAAAAAAAAGTGTAGTGTGAAAACAACAGGAGACAGTCTTTGACCTTTATTAAAAGAAGAACAATAAAAGAACATCCCCCAAAGTAGATCCAATGTCAATCATGATGCCCGTCGCTACCGGAAAAAAGAGAAAATAAAGAAGGCTCCGCTCCCCGACGCTGGCTCACGGCCGTCTGACTACTCCGCTGGCTTGACAGTTCTTAAATATGTAAGGGGCGGGGGGCCATCCAGTTACATCACGTGTGTGGTCCCACCTCCTTATGACATCATTGACCAAGCATTCCCCGGGGGACATTCTTTTATTTTCCTTCTTTTAATAAAGGACTTGTCAAAGACTGTCTCCTGTCTTTTTTCACACTACACTTTTTTTTTTTGTGAATGGGTAGCGGTACCTGTGCCCCATACTCATTCACATTAGGGGCAGGATATTAAAGAGGGCCTCCAGATTCCGATAAGCCCCCTGCCCGCAGACCCCCAGAACCACCAGCGATGGTTGTGGGGAAGAGGCAACATGGGGGGAGACCCCCTCTGCCGCAAAGCACCCCCCCATGTTGAGGGCATGTGGCCTGGTATGGTTCAGGAGGGGGGGCACTCGCTCGTCCCCCCACCTTTCCTGACGTGCCAGGCTGCTTGGATAATCTAGTATGGATTTTGGGGGGAACCCCGAAGGGCTTTGTATGGATGGAGGGGGGACCCCACACTTTTTTAAAATTATTTTTTAATTGCAGCAATTCTCTCTTTTACATTCAGCTGTCAGTGGGGAACCCCACTGACTGCTGAAACATTAACGCATGGTTTTTACTACTTAAAATACTGCATGACTTGATAAAATAACTCATGCGGTATTTTAATAGTGTTTTTTTTTGTTAATGCAAACTTTTTTTAAAAAATTTTATGCAGTATCCTACCACATACTTGGATGCGGTAAGATACCGCTTAGTGAATTGTGTGCCAGTAAACCTCTCACCGGGCTCCCTACTGACCCAGGGCCCTCGGGCAATGCCCAAATGGTCAGTCCTTCCCTGAATACTACATATCATAGAAAGGATAAAAAAAGGTCATTTACACAACAATATGGTGTAGCGCTCCCACTGTAGCTTGTACACTCATGGACATTTCTCAAGACCCCTGTTATAGACACTGCCTTAACTCCACCAAATCTAGTCAGTTTTATTGAATGAACAAGTTACTCCCATTATCTGATATATCATCTGTAGGTCTACTGTAGTAAAATGTGGATCTTGTCCTATTAGCCTAAATTATATATTATCATTATGGTCTACAAACATCATGATTAAGGCTTGGTTCACACTGCTGCGAACTCATTGTCATGCGACTTTCAATGCTTTACAACTGCTTTAACACTTTCTGTGTTGTTTAAACATTTCCATTGTTGATTCAATGCTTCTGGTGTTGATGTAATGTTCCACATATAAATCTAAAAAGCATAATTGAATTCACTTCCCGTAGCCTCCCTGGCGGTATTCCCGAGTGTAGCTCGGGGTAAAGTTTCAGTACCACAAACGGTAACCCCGAGCTACACTCAGGCTTACCATGCGGCGCTGCTCCAGGATCTGTTCTTCTCTTACCTTGTCCTGCGCTCCCGCGATGTCCCTCCTGCAGTGTCCCCTGTAATGTCCTCCGGCGGATACCGGCATCTGTCTTCTGGGTTCCGTCCCCTGCGACGTCGGGAAGTACGGGGACGGAACGGTGGGAAATTTGAAAATGACAAAAAGTGACATTCACTAAATTCACTAAAATAACATAGTAAAACATTACTGTATCAAACCATTCCACATACATTTTGTCCCGAGTGCTTTGTCTGTGCCCTGCCTACATTTTTACTGTTCTTTCTGCCTGGAAACTGAGAAACGTCCACGGCGTCCAAAAAGCATCCCTTTAGGTCAAAAGCGGTTTTAGACCAGCTAGAGAACAGCGATAGTAAATCAGAACTACTTGCAGAATTGAGTGATAATGATTCGTGGGGAAATTCGTCATCAGACACTGAAAACGATTTTGCGACTTTGTTCAGTGATGTGCGAACTTGGCGCTATATTTCAAATTTCAGTGTTTTTGGTTTGATTATATTATTGAATTAAATGTTTTATTATTATTATATTATTATTTTTTATGATTATTTATTAAATTATAATTTATGATTTCGTGTTTCAAATTTTAACATACTAGACTCTTGTTCGGACAGATTTCAGTGAGTTATTTCTAAAAATTACAGACCTACAATAAAAAAAATACATATTTTCATGGAAAAAAAGGTACCGCTTTAAGCACAGAAATATGGACATAATCAGACCACTAGGGAGGTTAAACCAGAAATTCACTTACTAAAAGTAGCAGCCATTTTGTACAAAAGAAATCAAACAATATTTAAAAAAAAGAGCAGAGAAAAAAATTAAACTGCTTGCACAACTCTTGCCTTGTGCTATCCTCTCCACCTAATGTCACACACATCACATGCAGGGAATGACTGCTATTTTACAAGATGGTTGGAGGGTACTTTGTAGCAAACATCTTTCAAGGAAAGAAAAAATAAAAAACAAGGACCTTTTGCTACAATGTGACCATCTTGGAATAAAAATTAAATTCCTGAAGTTTAATGATGTTGAGTGAAGGATACCACATGGTTATGCACTTGGTTTTATCCACTCTGCACTTCCTTTAAAATATTGTTTTATCCCTGTGGAGTTGGTGACTTGTGAGGGCACTGGTGTGGGGGAGTGTTCATTCACATTCGCCTTTAGACTTTATCCACACAGAACATTTAGAAAATTCTTCTAGAAACTTTTCCTCCTGGTAGAAGAGTTTTTTGCAGAAAAACAAATACCTGACACTTGTACAAGCATTTAGGTGCCTTTACAGGCATCAAGTGCTTGGACATTAATTAATTTCATTGGCCAGAATAATAATTTATTCCGACCACTGAAATGAATTAATGCTCAAGTGCCAAGCGCCTAGTGTTAACATACATTTACAAGCGTCAAGCATTTTGTTCTGCCAAAACGCTGCTGCTCCTGGACGCACTGGGAGTGAGTTTTTTTTTTCCTGCCTCTAACTCTTCTGCCACTAAACGCTGCTAAAAGTATACAGTATGTATGCATGGATACATAGGCTAACATGGAGGGGCAGGAAAAAAATGCATGACACCTTTAAAAATGTCTGATTCTGACCTGTGCCTGATCTGGCTTTGACCAATCTCCCCTCCCAGTTCATGCGTTCCTTATGAGTTCCTAATTGGGGTGGAGAAGGATTGCTCATTTGATCATCTCCCTGTAAATTTAGACCAGCTTATGGGGGAGGTCACAGATGGGGGGTACAGTCACAGATGGGGGCATTGTCCTGCATTTGTGCATTTTCTGCTGGAGTGCGAAAAATAAGTTGAACACAGAAGTTTAACTAAAGCAGCAAGAAGATACAACAAAGAACTCTACTGCACTCTGGATGGACTGCAAGCAAAACACTCTGGGAAACATCTCCTACAAGTCTGATTCCCACTCCAACTACCTTTCAATATGCCATCTCTACTCCTCCTTTTCATATTACTAGCCTGTGTTCTCAAAAATTTTTTTTTTGCCCCTCTGCTCCACCTCAAAGCTTATACATCTCACCCTCACTGCTACCATCTCCCTACTACTGCTCTCATCACCTCCTGCTAATACTTAACTCACCTGCTAACCCAAACACCAGAACAGGAAAGCATGTGCACTCATATACACCCCACTGCCATCTTACTTTCCTCACCCTCCTTCTTTTCTCCTAACCTCTGGGGATATCTCCCCGAACCCTGGTCCTTCAGTATCTCACCCCCACACCAGGCAACCTCCTTCCTCCAAGAATAGCTGCAATCCACTCAATTTAATCTCAATCCCCATGCTCCTAAAAAACACCCTCCCTTTTTCATCTGCACTCTGGAATGCCCGCTCTGTTTTGTAATAAGCTCATTTCTGTCCATGACCTTTTTGCCTCCCACTCCCTTAACCTACTAGCAATTACATAAACCTGGCTTCAAACATCAGATTCTGCTTCTCCCACAGCACTTTCCTATGGAGTCCTCCACTGGACTCAGTCACCCAGACCCAGTGGTCAGAAAGGAGGTGGAGTTGGTTTGCTTCTATCCCCAATGAGCACCATTCAAGTCCTCCCTACCCCTCCCTCTCTATCCTTCTTTTCTTTCAAGATTCACTGCATTTGGCTGTTTTCTCCCCATCTCTCTGAGGATTGCAGTGATCTATCGGCCTCCTAGACTAGTGTCATCACGCTTTCTTGATGACTTCTCTGCTTGGCTACCCTACTTTCTCTCCTCTGAAATACCCACTATCATTCTTGGAGATTTTAACCTCCCCATTAATGCAAACAACCCAGCTACATCCCAACTCTTCAACCTAACCTCATCTTTTGCTTAACACAATGGACATAGCCCTCCACTCAATCTGATGGGAATACATTAGACCTTGTTTTCTTCCATGTTTGCACTCTCTACAACCTAAAAACACCCTCTTTCCTCTCTCTGATCACAATCTCATCACCTACACAGTGTCCTTTTCTTCAAACACCTATCCCTCCAAGCAGCAAACAATTACCCAAAGAAACCTTCACAACTTTAACCCTTCTCTTTTCCACTCTGCAAATGACTGCCTCTATGACAAAATCTTTCCCCTGTCTTGCCCTGACCTGGCCACTTCTGTCTACAACAGTTCACTTTCATCCACACTAGCATTACAACCGTGGTAGACTGACGACACCAGAAATCTTAAGAGACATAGTCGTGCATTGGAACGACTCTGGCGTAAAACCAAATTCCAGCAAGCATTCACTCTATAGAAATTGGCTTTCTTAAAATACAATTCCTCTTTCCATGCTGCCAAACAAGCCTACTTTGTCACTCTTATTAATGCCTTGTCATCCAGTTCTCATCGTCTCTTCTCTACTTTTAACTCTCTACTTTTTCCACCTCCACGCAGTAACTCACTCACTGCTCACAAGATTGCCAATTATTTAAAAAACAAGATTGATACAATTCGTAGGGGCATCTCCACTGCACAGACATCTATTCCCATTTAGCATACCTTATACTAAACCAACCTCAACACTTACTTTCTTTTGACCTTGCTACATACTGAAGAGGTTACTAAATGTTTTCTCAGAAGCCCGTATTCACCCACATGCCCCTTGGATCCTGTCCCCTATCACAGCTACTATGGGTCACCCTTCTTCTTCTATCCTATGCTCCCTCACTTACATCTTCAATAATTCCTTCTCTACTGCGCCTTCACACCCCCTCTAAAGCATGCACACATCACTCCCATACTTAAAAAGCCCTCACTGGACCCCACCAATCTGAACAAAGTAAGACCAATCTTCCCTGCTTCCCCATTTACCTCTAAACTCTTAGAACGCTTAGTCTATAATCGCCTGAGCCCCCATACCTCACTGACAACAACCTTCTTGACCCCTTACAGTCTGGCTTCGCTCACTACACTCCACTGAAACTATCCTACTAAAACTCACTAATGATTTACTACCTGCTAAAAACCAATGGCCACTACTCCATACTCTACTACTTGACCTCTCTGCGGCTTTTGATACTGTTGACCATCCATCCCCTCCTCCTCAAAAAACTCCACTCATCTTGGCCTCCAAGACTCTGCTCTCTCCTAGTTCTCCTCCTACCTATCGCAGCGCTCCTTCAGCGTTACCTATAACTCTGTCTCTTCCTCTTCACTTCCTCTTTCTGTAGGGGGATACCCTCAAGTTTCTGTCCTTTGGATCCCTTCTCTTCTCCCATCTACATTTTCTCCCTTGGTCACTTGATAAATACTCCCATGGCTTCAAGTATCATCTCAATTGCTGATGACACACAAATCTATCTTTCTACTCCTCACCTCACCCCTCAACCTTTCTAAAACTGAGCTCAGACTATTCCCTCCCAGCCCGTGCCCCCTCCCCTGACTTCTCCATCAAGATCCAATAATACAAAAATCAGTCCCTTCCCTCATGCCAGGATACTAGGTGTAATCCTGGACTCTCATCTGTCCTTTCAGCCCCAAATCCAATCACTGTCCAAATCTTGCAGACTTCACCTCTGCAACATCTCCAAAATATACCCATTTTTAACCACTGAAACCACTAAGCAACTTATTCACAATCCCTGGTTTATCTCTTGCCTTGACTATTGTAACTCCCTCCTCATTGACTGCTTAATCGCATAGGCTATCCCCCTCTTCAGTCTGTCATGAATGCTGCTGCCAGACTCATCCGCCTTACTAAACCATTCCCCATATCTGCCACCCCTCTCTGCCAATCCCTTCTGCTGGCTTACCATTGCCCAATCGAATAAAATTCAAAAACATTAACAATAACATATAAAGCCATTTATCAACTCTGCCCCAATTTACATCACCAATCTTGTGTCCAAAATATCACCCAAACCATCCACACCTCCCCGCTCCTCCCACGACCTCCCATGCTCTCTAACTATCTTGTCTGCTCCTCCCATTCTCATACTTCAAGACTTCTCCCAGAGCCTCCCTCATCCTCTGGAACTGTCTACCCCAATCTATTCGTCTATCACCTACCCTGCCCACTTTTAGGTGATCTCTGAAAATCTCTTCAGGGATGCCTATTCTGCCTTCAGCTAATAACCAAATCTTCTATTTCTTCTATCAGTTGTCACCGACAGTTATTACCTTTTGTACCCCTACCCCTCCCTCTGTAGATTGTAAACTCCAAGGAGCAGGGCCCTCCTAACCCTCTTGTATTGAATGGTATTCGTTGCAATATTGTCTCCC